CCCATTGAATTCTCTATCTCAAGCCAAGCTTATTCATACCCTGTTTCCCTTAAAATAAGACCTCCCGGGATAATAAGCCTAATCGAACTTTTGAGTGCATGTGCCCCCCCAAAAAGTCATCCCCCCAAAATTGGAACATAGCAGCAGCCATGAGATGACCATGTTCGCTGTCTCTTGCACCTCAAAAATAATAAGATCTCCCTGCAAATAATACCAAGCACTTATTTCGGGGGTCAAAAGAAAATAAGACCTTGTCTTATTTTTGAGGAAACACAGTATGATTTGGGGAAGTATGTATTTACTGTATCTAAAGAAACAACTCCTGAAATTCACATTTTAAAGAAGTGATTTATATTTCTTGATCCGACTCCATTTATTGCTTCTTCAGTTATGATCTGCTTTCTAAATATGCCAATAAAAAAGTCCATCCAAGAAATTACTAATTAACTTATCAAATTACTGTTTAACTCAGGGGTGTTGAGCTAGCTTAACCTTATTTCCTATCTGTATCATTTCAGAACTATGTGATTAGTTACAAGAAATAGGCATTTCAATAAAGAAAATATATGTAATAATATGCACATGTTTTATTACACATGCATTTATCTAGAGATATAGTTTCATGCATATGTTTGGCATCCCGACTTAAATGGCACAATTCACTCAATTGCTAAGTAAACAAAAGCTATCTAATCTTTATATATTTCTGCAAATGTGAATAGAGTCTTGCTCTTCATATACAGTTGTTCACAGATTCCAAAAAGTGGCCTACTTGTCAGGCTTACAATTTTACAGATCAATAAACACTTTGACCCTCTAACACTGGTACTGGAGTTCCATCTACTTTCAATGTACATTGGTTCTTCTGAGTAGCTGGGTAAGGACTTGAAAATGAATACAATTCATTCTTACAAAAGAGGAGGAGGTTATTTAAAAGAAAAACAAATACACTTCCAGCTAGCAATTTTGATTCTGGCAAGCACTGTTAAGAAATGAAAGTTACACAAAACTGTTGACGTCAAGACAAGACCTGGAAGAACAATTCTGCTAATGTTGGTCCCAAACTATTCAGACCAGCAGATTGGAAACCGTAGATTACCACAAACCATTTGCTAAAACATTTAGCTAACAGTGGGGTCAGCTAATCCATAGTATCATCAGTCTAAAGGTGCCCACTTTTCAGTTAGCTGGACATTCTATAGCCGTGATGGTGAACCAATGGCATCCTGTGGGCATGCGCACTGTCATCAGCTGCTCTTCTGGTTTCCAGGGCATGCATGCATGCTAGCTAGCTGATCTTTGCATGAGCTGGAGTGCCGGAAATCCGGAGACCAGTTGACATTACGGTTTGGGTATTTGGTGCCGAAAAGGTTCGCCACCACTGTTCTATAACAAAGTAGCTAGCTCTGTAATAACCCAAATCTCTGTGGTATTGCATCAGTGATAGGTTCCGGATTCTGTTGCAATTGGTACGGTGCAATGGGGCCAGGTGTCCACCACATGAAGGTGCGCAGCCTGCGCACACATATGCACAGCCCACGCATGTGTACTTACCGCCTGCGATGCTCCAGCTGCTCGGCGGAGCATTGCGCAGGTGCCATGCACTCCATGCACGGAAGCCCGAAACAGCTCAAATACAAGTAAGGAGCGCGGGCAGGCAGGTGAGTCCTCCAGAGCACCATACCGGAACAGTACCTGGTGCTCCCAGCAGGCACTTGTACACTTGTACTGGGGTGTACTGGTCGTATCCCACCACTATATTGCATGTACAAACTTACATTTTTTCTCAATTCTAACTAACCTTTAAATAAGCTGGTTCAATGTTTTCAACAAGAAACAGCATTGTACAGGTAGTCTTCAACTTGCGGCCACAATTCAGCCCAAAATTTATGTTGTTAAATGAGAAATGTGTTAAATGAGTGTGTCCCATTTTACGACTTTTCTTGTCACATTTGTTAAGTGAAATATTGCAGTAATTAAGTTTGTTACACAGTTGTTCAGTGAATCTGGTTTTTCCAGTGACTTTGTCAGAAGGTTGCAAAAGGGGTTCTTATGACCCCGGGACACTGTAACTATCATAAATATGAACTGGTTGTCAAGCATCCAAATGCGATGGAAATGCTATGTGAAAAATGTTCATTAGTCACTTTTTTCAGTGCCGTTGTAACATTGAACAGTCACTAAATGAACTGTTGTAACACACCCTCTAGCTGTGTTGGAGTTACAGTTCCTGGATTTCTCAGCCACCAAGTAGCTTGGTTAAAATGAGGTTAGAAGCAGACTTAACATATTTGCAGCCAAGGTGGCGCAGTGGTTAAATGCAGCACTGCAGGCTACTGCTAGATCAGCAGGTCAGCGGTTCAAATCTCACCGGCTCAGGGTTGACT